TACTGTGTAATAAAAATGTTAAAAATCTGTATTCCTACCTTCTCCATGGAACTTCATTCCTGATGTTCCCTCTGTGAATGGTACTTTGTGAATCAGTAGCCCCAGTGCAGGAAAATGTCACTTGAAGTGCTGCCATGGATCACAGGATCATGTAATCTTACTTTTTCCAGTTTCTGGATGAGACAGGACAGCCTTGGTGTCAGGTACTTGAGGGGATCTCTGCTGAGTTTTAAATTATGGCCACATCTAGCTAACTTAGACTTGTTTCTTATTTGTGGCTGGGGGAGACCTTGTAAGAAAACCTCCAGAATGCTGATACTTAAGAACTTACATCAGAGATGTGCTTTGCCTTCAAAGTCAAACTAATGCCTAGATTAATGGCCATCATAAACCATATCTGGTTTTAATGGTTCCTCTGCACTCGAACTTTTGCACAGAATCATCTGAGGCATCTATTTCTATTTTTAACTTAATGAGAATACTCATTAAGAAAGGAAAGCACCTTCCCAGAGGTGTAGACTGAGCAGTAACTTTTACAGCCTTCGTCCAGTGCAGTTCCCAAGGGTACTCTTTGGTACATGCAGGGCTTAATTAACCATGCTATCTCCAGAAGTAAATCCATCTATAGCATGGCTGTTAGAGAAATTAAGACTGCCCTAGCAGGAAGAGAACATCATCAACATGGATTTCTATTTATATCCAGAATTTGGTCCTAGCTCTTTAGCACAGTCTGCTCCCAGGAACTTTTTGTGAGTACATGGACGTTGCTGACCGCATTCAACCATCAGTGTTTTGCCAATGCAGACCATCCTCCCAGGACTCATGTAATTCCTTTGCTTCTTGTTTCAGATGCATAGTATTTTTGAAGACATTAAATAATGACCTTGACCTTGAAGATATTTAAATTGGGATTTGATAATGGAATTAACATTGCTCCTCCACCCCCTGCACCCGCAAAAGAGGACAGGACGTGTGTGCATTAAAAACCCTATTTAATGGATCAACACTTAGAAGAATCTTATTTGAGTCTGGTTTTGTAGCAGAATCATAGATAGAACCAAATGTCCCTAAGACTGATACAGAGCACCAGCTCTTCACCTTGTTAAGCAAACAGAGGAGGTATTTTTTGTTCATTTTGCAAGTTGGTGTAAGGTAAAGAAGAAGCACAGTGGCATAAATAAATGCATCATGAAGACATATGAAATGAGTTTTTATTTTTTGATGTCAACCCCGGCGCTAAATTAGTCCCTTGTTTAAGGCTCTTATTTACATTGTAATAATTTGATTAATTTCTCTTATCAGTACTATCTGTACACTTGAAAGCATTTTGGTGTTTAGAGTTACTGTGAGAGCTGTTCTCAAAAAAGCCCAGTGTTAGTGAGCAGCCATGATGAAATTGGGTGCTCTTCTGTGTCCAGGGGCCATGGTCTTGACTCTGGAAGGGGCTATTGCCAAGTGAGAGCTGATTTCCCAATTATACTGCCATTAAATGACATTTAGAGTGGAAAGGGAATTAGAGCACAGAGTTGTCAGTTTTCAAACCCCAGGTTTCAGAGAGCAGAAAATATTGTCTATTTATGCTGCTCATTGGGAAATGCTAACTACGAAGATTGAGAGGTTCTACCCTTGGACTGACTATTTTTGGTGTTATACTCCAGTGCCTGACTTTAAGCTGTGGGGCAGGCAAGATGTTGGCTTTTTAACATTTTTCTCATTTTTTTCCCCCCCAACCCATAGATCAAAAGTGCCTGATCCTGTGATAATGAAGCAAGGGTGTAGCATCAGCACTCATGACTGCTTTTCTCTCCCTCAGTGTGAGACTCATCAGCCAAAACCAGAGTGCTTTGCTTCTTATTTTGTGACCTTCAGAGAAGTGGTGGCAAATTTAAAATGTCTGCCAGAAGGCAAGGAAACCTGATGAGATTTGATCCAGGAGGTTACCTGTTTGCTGCTTCATCTTCTCTTCTCTGATGAGTACCCTGGACAGTTAGGTTGCATTCATAAGCTGACCGAAGAGGAGCTGAACAGTAAACTCAAGCTTTGAGTTTTGTACACTTTGCTGCAGCTGCTTTCCTGTTCCTGTAGCTCCCTTAGGTTTCTCCATTGGTTATTACATCTCTCAGACTGTTGATTCATGTGATGTATGAGCTGTGTTTGGAGCTATGTTTTCTGATATGTATTTGGCATAGCAGTGGGAACAAACAGCAGCCACTGTATTATGGTTTTTTCCTTTACATGGCTATAGTCTTGGTGTGTGAGGTCAGTACCACTACTGAGATCAAGAGCCAAAGAGCACTCTTCGCCCGTTACACCCAGCTGCAGCCCTTGTCCCAGCCATGCGGTGGCCATCCCAGGCAGAGAGAGGCCATTTCTGGATGGGTCACCACTAGCAGTGGATTTTGCTGTTCCCCTTGTACAGCCAAAGCAACATCGTGTGACAGACCGATCCTATGCATCTCCCGTTCTCAGAAGTGTTTCCCTCCACCCCCTTCCTACGTCT